ACACCCATGGTTTATACAAAATTGTTTCCCCTTCACCATAGGTTGCTTCAGACCAAATATGGAACAAATCCTTTCATTCCTACAGAAGAAGAAGAACTATTGGGCCCACCCCTCAGCCCCCAGGGGGGCCAGACCCACCATTTATACAAAATTGAGTCCCCTTGGCCTAAGGATGCTCCAGACCAAATTTAGTCCAAAACCTTTCATTCCTACAGAATAAGAAGGACTTTAAAGAATTTGCTATGTTTCTCCTATTGGGCCCCGACACTTAGGCCCCAGGGGGCCAGACCCACGTTTATACAAAATTGGTTCCCCTTCACCCAAGGATGATTCAGACTACATATGGAACAAATCCTTTCATTCCTACAGAAGAAGAAGGATTTTAAAGAATTTGCTATATTTCCCCTATTGGGCCCCGCCCCTCAGCCCCCAGGGGGGCCAGACCCACTGTTTATACAAAATTGGTTCCCCTTCCCCCAAGGATGCTTCTGACCAAATATGGAACAAATCCTTTCATTCCTACAGTAGAAGAAGGATTTTAACGAATTTGCTATATTTCCCATATTGGGCCCCGCCCCTCAGCCCCCAGGGGAGCCAGACCCACGGTTTATACAAAATTTGTTCCCCTTCCCAAAAGGATGCTTCTGACCAAATATGGACCAAATCCTTTCATTCCTATAGAAGAAGAAGGATTTTAAAGAATTTGCTATATTTCCCCTATTGGGCCCCGCCCCTCAGCCCCCAGGGGGGCCAGACCAATCATTTATAAGATGTTGATTCCCCTTGGCCTAAGGATGCTCCAGACCAAATTTAGTCCAAATCTACTGGGCCGTTCAGGACAAGTAGCATTTTAAAGGAAAAGCTGACGGACGGACGACGGATGCTGCGCCATGGCATAAGCTCACTTGCCCTTCGGGCAGGTGAGCTAACAACTAAAAACACAAAATATTTCTTTTTTTAACAATAATCAAATAATATTTTCAACGAAAATGGTGTATATTGTAAATATAGCAGTAGTCGTCAGTTGTTTACGACAATAATGTTTACTTTGGATCGATTTCCGGCACCATTGGTGTTAGGTCGGCATGTCCCGATTTTGACACTTTTCAACGTAGACACGGGGAAATCAACTTGTAATGCAATAGAGATTAGAGAAACCATTGCTTAAATGATTAAAAACATACGGCTTCCTTCTGGAGTAATATTTTCATTGAATCGGCATGATTTCCTCACATGACGTGTCAAAGCAAACGTTAATATTAATGGAAGGCATGCTCGTTTTCTTATCAGAATTTGTGTCAGAAACTGTCGTTAGGTTAACGGAGCCATGTAAGAGATGATTTTAATCAGATTGGCATAATCATTTCCATTTCATACACAGTCCTAAAGTGTAATTTAAATAGCAATTGACTACCGCACATGTTTTGTTATGACTAGAAAGCGAAGGTCGATCTATTGTTTTCCAACCAACCAAATGTTACCTGGAGTGGACAGTTGCATGATCACCTCGGGCGATGTACAGTTAGCTCGACCTATTGTTCAAATGTCCTGGTGTCAAACACCGCCAACTTACCTCAGTTTTTTGTCTTATAAAATCCATTCACGGCAGAAAAAAATATTGTAATAACGGGATCCAACCTTTGACCATATCATAATAAACGATTTGTTTTGCTTAGTTGTAGGAAAAAATCGGTACATAGGAAAAGAATTATGATAAGCGACATCATAATAAGTAGGTTCCACTCTAGTACAAAAAAAACTCCTATAATATAGCAAAGATATATTTTCAAAACATAAAAACAGTAAATATAGAAACACTGCGTTATTAAATTGAATAAATGTGTAACAAGTTTGTAACAAACATGTCTTTAATCCCTGTCTTGAACACACCCTATCATGTTTCATTAGTTCCACGGAATTAGCTCTAAGTCTGTGTTAGTACTGATAAAATATCTTGTGATGTTCATGTTTGACAGAGTAAATATCGCACTCCATCTTTTGCCGTTCACTATCTGTAAACAATTCATATGTATATGATATTATCAAATATTATGTGTTTTTCCAAATACATATATATTACAATATATACGTGTAACCAAGGTAAATAATACGGGTACGACAGAGTCTTCCCGCGCGCTCATTGCGTCACGTCACAGGTAGTGGGAATATGTGCTCCACATGATAGTGTGTGTACAGCGAGAGTGTATTTATACCTGTTACATATTATTGTTACAGGCTCCCTTGTACCCATCATCATCATCTACATTATTTAATAAAGACATCAAATAGTCTTGAGTTCTACATACGTCTCTACTAGTACTTCTTTTAATTTTACTTGTGTTACAAAAGCGGCACAAAATCATCTAAAATCTGACTGATAGGGTGAGTCTAATATTACATATTAGGGAGATAAAGCTTTGTGCTATATATCTCACAAATATGGTTCGACCCTACAAATAGGCCGACTTCATTCAAATCCGACTGATCAGGTTAATCCAATGTTCTATTAAGGGAGATAAGGTTTTGCAGAAATACAGGTAAACCGCAGCGGTGACCTTTGGCTTCATCCAGCCAGCTCGGCTGCTTGCTGTTTGAAGAGTAGCTAAAGTTATCAAAGCGTGGTTAGCTTTACAGTTCTTTTGTGTTAATGTATTGGTACTGTCGATTTATTCTGTGACTATATACTGAAATGGACAGAGCACGTTGGAAAGACTTTCTTAATTCTGCCGGAAAGAATAGTCTTATTCAAGTGGTATAATTTCAGGCCTTATTTGCAGTGGTAATTTTTGTGATATAAAGAAAAATGTTAATGACCCAAACATTGTGACGGGAACTGTGTAGTTAGGTAGGAACACTACAATCAGAATATTTTTTATTTAATGTATACCCACAATATACACGCATTGTTGTATTTTTCACATACATATGGCTAGTTAAGAAAGTATAGAAGTGAATGCTTTCTCTGCCTATAATTTGGCGAACCACAAAATGGCGTCACTACGGTATGAATGAAAATGCTAGGGGTCGCTGCCAAAAACATTTGCATATGAATGAAATGTGAATGAATGAAATCCATATAAGGAGGTATCAGCTACCATATAAGGACAGAAATACCATATATAGTCATAGATGGCGTGTGTGTACAAAATGCAGTTCCACGTTAAGCAAATTTCATAGTATAAGCGATCCCCTAGACACTTGCGTTACCTAACGCATGTGTCAAAAAGGATGCTCCAGACTAAATCAGGATAAAATCCCTTAAGCGCTACTGTAGAAGAAGGATTTTAAAGGTTTTATCTCTATTTCCCTTATTTGGCCCGCCCTTCTGCCCTTAGGGTGGCCACACCCACCGTTTATACAAAATTGAGTCCCCTTGGCATAAGGATGCTTCAGACCAAATTTAGTCAAAATCTACTAGGCTGTTCAAGACTATAAGCATTATAAAGGAAAAGTTGAGAGACGGACGACGGAAGAGGGACGATGGACACTTTGGTATAGCTCACCATGTAAACTAACAAGAGTTTCAATGGGTCTGCATCGCTCACCTGGTATAAATCTCACACTTGTTACCTTAAAAGTGATCTAAAATAAAGCTACAGGCAAAATATCAGTATTAATGATTAAAATTCATTCAAAAGAGACTGTTATTTTTTTTTAAAACATTTCATCCCTGTGATTGAAAGTCGAATAAAGTCATTATGTTGAACAAATTTTATAGCCTTTCATCTCAGGATGCAACTTGCAAAGTATCAACATCCTTGGACCCATGGTTATTCAGAAGAGTTCGTTTAAAGATTTTAAACAAATTGGACCCCTGTGACCTTGAATATAAGTCAAAGTCATTCACTTTAACAAACATAGTAGTTCTTGATTCCAGCATGCTACTGACTAAATATCAACATCCTGAGCCTTTTGGTTATTCAGAACAAGTTGTTCAAATATTTTGAACATATTTGCTCCTTGTGACCTTGAATATGATTCAAGGTCATCCATTTAAACAAACTTGGTAGCCCTTGATCCTAGTATGCAACTGACTAAATATCATCACCCTTGGCATTTTGGTTATTCAGAAAAATTGTATAAAGTTTTTAACATATTTGACCCCTGTGACCTTGAATATGGGTGAAGGTCATTCAGTTGAACAAACTTTGGAGCCCTTCATCTCGACATGCTACTGGCCAAATATCATTACCCTGGGCATTTTGGTTATTCAGAAGAAGTTGTTTAAATGTGTTTTTAAGACAATTGACCCCTGTGACCTTGAATATAATTGAAGGTCATTCATTTAAACAAACTTTGAAGCCCTTCATCCCAGTTTGCTTCTGGCCAAATATCATCACCCTAGGCCTTTCGGTTATTAAGAAGAAGTCATTTAAAGTAAAATATTGACGACGGACGACGGACGGACAGACGACGGACGCTGCGCCACGGCAAAAGCTCACTTGGCACTTCATGCCAGGTGAGCTAAAAATGATCCCTCCAATAAGTTCTAGGAAATGGCACTAACAAACGTAACCTCTGCAATTCAAGATGGCTGCTTGTTGGCCATCTTGGTTTTGTGATCAGTCCAAAACAACAATATATGTATGCATTAACTAGGGACCATGGGGAATCTTCATGTGAAATTTGAGAAAGATCCCTCCAGTATGTCTGTGGAACAGCGCTAACAACCTCAAATTAAAGATGGCTGCCTGTCGGCCATCTTGTTTTGTGATCAGTCCCAACAAATAATATGCATAACAAGGGATAAGTGGAAGCCTATATGTGAAATTTGAGAAAGATCCCTCCAGTACATTCTGAGAAATAGCGCTAACAAGAATTGTTTAAGGACGGACCGAATGACAGACAGACGACGGACAACAGAAGTAGGGTGATGGTGGGCTAAAAAAAGACAGTGCAGTAAGACATATCAAGAAGCTTCACAAAGGGAAGGAAGCTAATTATAAGTAGCTAAGTATTATATCACAACCAATATATACCATAGTCCGTAACCCTAAAATTCAGAGTTTAGATTTAAATTCCCCAATATGGCCACATTCACGGATCAGACACCGGATTAGCAACAGATATGATCTGGCATCATTTGTGGCAATCTGTAGTGGTCCGTAGCTGTCTGTATTATATCATGGGTCAATCATAGAAGTACTTGTATATCTGTGACAATTTTTGAGCATGTTCAAAAATTCACCATGGATCAGACAACCATAGTGCATCTTCACTGATCCTTAGTAGAACGTATGAATTTGCTGTAGTCTGTAATAAATCGTAATTATCTGTACTTATTCGTAGAATGTACCCGGCCTCAAGTTGCCAAGGATTGGTACAGTTAGTTACGGTGAACTATGTTCTTGTACTAACCAGTACTAAAACGAAAATTATGTTGTGGAATGAACACGCGAGCACAAGAGTTTGTAAACATATTGCTTACCGTGACAGATCTGTGGCGCTCCGTGCGAGCTCGTACTTATCTGCGACAGACCTTTCTAATTTGTGCTAACCGGTACTAAAATCGTAGCGAACCGTTGTTATAATCAGCAGTGACATGTGTCATTCCATACTAAAACATACCGAACCGTAGCAAACCTAGTGCATTTGTAACAGACCACGGATATGGACTATTCCGGGGTCTTCCATGAGTTTCCATCCAAAGTGGATCCTGCGAGACAATGTGTTACTGGGGTCATTAGGCAATTTATGGTAATATAATGGTATGCAATTTCTAGAGCTCTCTTGAAATTATTTTCTCTATACATCATGTACTTACATAGTATCACAAGTTTTGTTGTAGTAATGCCTGTTCCGACAACATTCCTAGCCGTACATCTGTATGTCCCGTGTTCTGATCTGTCCAGTTGTCCCAGTGATAACACAGCTGAGGCAGTAAAGTTGGTGTTGTCAGGTTTGGTCCAGACAAAGGTACAGCCAGGTCTACAGTCAGCTGTACAGGTGATGTCCGGTAACGTGTCCCCCTCAGTCTTGGTGTAGGTAATATCCGCTGGGGACAGGGTAACAGTACTGGGACCGTCTACAATACATACATTATAATCTTTAAATGTGTGTAGTAACAGACGCAATGACAATACCGCTTCATCCTCATGCTAACATTTCACATTTCACATTTACACACAAAAATAACCAGGTCACATATCAAATGAGGTCCATCGCTTGCTAGAGCTAGTACTTTTATCCAGAGGCTAACTAAGATGCCCCCACATACCACAATTATCATAAAGGAAATATCTGTCTTCCATTAAAAAGAGTTGAAATGAAAACAAAATGAGTAAATTATACCCAGGTGCACAACTTCAATATGAAGTCAACCTGTGTTAATTATACGTTGCACACACACAAACACCCCCTACCACACGCTCGCATTGCAATATCCCTCTGACAATGTTATTGTGAGGGGATAAACAAGAGATCCTTGAGGATATTGGCGTCCACCATCGTACCATCTTCATTAGTTCTTTGTCAGTTTGATCAGTTTGCCTGTCCCCCATCTTAATCAGTCTTTTGATCAACCTCAATAGTTGATATGCACAACTAAGGACCAAGGGGAACCTACATATCAAATTTGAGAAAAACACCTCTAGTAAATTCCAAGAAATAGCGATAACAAACTCGAACTGTAACAAGATGACCGCCTGTCCAAATCTTGGGTTTTCAGATCAGTCCAAAAATTTGAAAGGCATAACTAAGAACAAAGAACAAGAGCCCCATGGGCCTTAACGGTCACCTGATATATTTATACAGAGAGTTGATTTTACTTTTAACATGAACAGAAATATTATTCAAAGTGACAAAAAAAACAATAAAACCACCTTATTCAATATCTAGCTTACAGATTTAAGACTGAAAAGTATTTGAAACTAGCACCTCTGATTCTAAACAAGGAAAATGAAGAAATGTTAGCACACTGACTCCTTTGGGCCCACCCTACAGCCCTTGGGGGTAGGGCTGGCTAAAAAATTTCAAAGTATCAAACTGTCAACTCAGGGTAATAATTCCAATTAAGTTATTAACATGATGTAATATTCAAAGTATCATTTACCATTATAAACCATAATAAATGTAATTTCCCTATATTAAGTTTAACAAGAGGCCCAATGGGCCTGCATCGCTCACCTGGTATAAACTCACACTTGTAACCTTAAAAGTGATCTAAAATAAAGCTACAGGCAAAATATCAGTATTTATGATTAAAATTCATTTTTTTGACCCTGTTATTTTTTTTTTAACATTTCACCCCTGTGATTGAAAGTCCAACAAAGTCATTATGTTGAACAAATTTTATAGCCTTTCATCTCAGTATGCAACTTGCAAAGAATAAACATCCTGGGACCCATGGTTATTCAGAAGAGGTTGTTTAAAGAATTTAAACAAATTTGACCCTTGTGACCTTGAATATAAGTCAAAGTCATTCACTTTAACAAACAAAGTAGTCCTTGATCCCAGCATATGCTACTGACTAAATATCAACATCCTGTGCCTTTTGGTTATACAGAACAAGTTGTTGAAATATTTTGAACATATTTGCTCCTTGTGACCTTGAATATGATTCAAAGTCATACATTTATACAAACTTGGTAGTCCTTTATCCTAGTATGCTACTGACTAAATATCATCACCCTTGGCATTTTGGTTATTCAGAAGAAGTTGTTTAAAGTTTTTGACATATTTGACCCCTGTGACCTTGAATATGGGTGAAGGTCATTCATTTGAACAAACTTTGTAGCCCTTCATCTCAGCTAGCTACTGGCCAAATATCATCACCCTGGGCATTTTGGTTATTCAGAACTTGTTTAAAGTTTTTAACATATTTGACCCCTGTGACCTTGAATATAGATGAAGGTCATTTATTTGAACAAACTTTGTAGCCCTTTATCTCGGCTAGCTACTGGCCAAATATAATCACCCTGTGCATTTTGGTTATTCAGAAGAAGTTGTTTAAAGTTTT